GTTACTAACAAGCCTGAGCTACTGGCTGATCATTTACAATTAATGCAAGCCTCTGTGTGGTAAAGTGGAAGCAGCTCCCAGGATGGGAAAACGCCTCCTACAAGAGAGCTCAGTGGTTCACTGATGGACCACGTGTGTAGGGAGGAAGACAGGGGAGTGTTGTGGTTTGCAGCTTGAGCAGTGGGGTGGGTGGAGGGTGGCACCATTTTACTGAAGTAGGGGACAAGGAGAGAGAAGGCCTAGGATCGGCAGGGGACATCATTGGGAGCCACACGTTCGGGTATGGTGACTCAAGTCTGTAATCCCAGCACTTTTGGGGAGCCTGAGGCAAGAGGATGGCCCACAAGTTTGCTGCACAGCAAGTCCCAAGGTAGCCTAGCATGTCGAATGAGAGCCGGTCTCAAAATCACAGAGTGTCACATTCACCATGTCTAGGGCTTCCAGCCTGAAAGGTTGAGGTCTGTGGCTGTGAAGACCCCAGGCAGCAATGTCGTCACCATCAGACCCACGTGCCCTCAGAGAGCCATGGGGAGGGAGGCTGAGGCACCAGCATGGTCTCAGGAGATCCTTGGAAGCCACCTCCCCAGTGCGCCCTCCTCAGAGCTTCCCTGGTCATATTCTAACTCGTCACCCTAAGGTCACAAGAGCTCTAGGCATTGAAGGGAAGGAAGGGGACTGGACTGCCTCCTCTCTCTCTCTCTCTCTCTCTCTCTCTCTCTCTCTCTCTCTCCTCTCTCTTGGAATGAGTTCTCTCTCAGATGTGCTAGGGATCTCCCTTTGTCTTCCATTGGTCACATGGCCATCGCCAGCTGCAAGGGTTCAGGAAAGGGAAACTTCATGCTGTCTTGAGAAGTCCACTCTACTAGAACAGAAAGTTCTGTCCTAAAGCCCCACAAACCTGTAACAGAGATATGCACAGAGGGAGAGAAAAAGCCACAATCCTAGCACACAGAAAAAAAGGAAAAACAACACATAAACAAAAAACCCAACAACAACAAAACAAACAAACAAAAAAGCATGGCATTTTAGTTAGGGCTTCTATTGCTTTGATAAAACACCACGACCAAAAGCAGGGGTTTATTTTCCTCACCCTTACACATCACTGTTCACCACTGAAACAAGTCCTGGCAGGAACTCAGACAGGGAGGAACCTGGGGGCGGCAGCTGATGCAGAGGTCGCAGAGGGGTGCTGCTTACTGGCTTGCTCCTCATGGCTTGCTCAACCTGCTTTCTTCTAGAACCCAGGACCACCTACCTAGGGGGGTGGCACCACCCACATTGAACTGGGTCCTCCCACATCAATCACTAACCAAATTGATACTACGCAGGTTTGCCTATAGGCTGCTCCTACAAAGGCATTTTCTCAATCGAGCGACCCTCTTCCCAAATGACTCTAGCTTGTGTCAAGTTGACAAAAGTAAAAAAAAAAAAAAAGGGAGGGGGGGCAGTACACACGGAGGCCTAGATGGCCTTTTCCAGCTCCTTGTCTGGTTTCCCAAACGCTTACTAAGTCAAAGGGAGAAAATCGGGTGACAAAATCTATCTCAGGGCCCAAGAGATAGCTCAGTGGGTAGAGTGCAAGCCATGCAAGCGTGAAATCCCGAGTTTGAATCCCCAGAGCCCACATGAAAGCATGTGCAGTAGTGCGTGTAGCAGCGTAGGGTCTACACCTCAGCGCTCCTGCGGTGCTAAGAGTGTTCTAGCAATGTCCTGCAGACGGGATAGTCCCCAGAGCTCTCCAGCCAGCTGCCCTGCCACACAGAGTGCATCAGCGTGTGAAATCCTGAGGTGGAAGGCAACAGCTGACGTCTAAGGTTTCCTCCTGACCTGCACATGCGTGTGACCACACACTCTTACGCATGAGCACACACACATGATCAGTAATGAAATAAATGCCACGCCACAACACAGCACCTTCCATCCCACCCATCACCCATGGTGCCTGGATGAGTAAAAGATCTCTCTTCTGGGATCCACAGTCTTGAGTGTGGTGATATTTTGTTCATGATCTAATGAAGCTTGCCTGAGGATCGGAATGCAAAGCTAGCCGCCGTCACGGAGGCCGGGCAGTGGTGGTACACACCTTTAATCCCAGCACTAGGGAGGAACATAAGGCAGGAGCTCAGTCTCAGTGAGCCTGAGGAGCAGTGCAGTTGGGAGATACAATCTGAAAACGCGATTGCTCCTTTGGTCTGAGCATTGGTAGAAAAGAGAACTCTCTAGTGGCAGGCCGCTTTGCTTCCCTGGTCTAAAGCCTTAACTTATCTGTCTCTGGGCTTTCATTATTCATGCTAACCTGAGTGATGATCTCTGGTTGACTGTTACTCCATTACTGTATTTGTGCTAACTTGAGTGATGGTCTCTGGTTGACTGTTACTCCATCACTGTATTTGTGCTAACTTGAGTGATGGTCTCTGGTTGACTGTTACTCCATCACTGTATTTGTGCTAACTTGAGTGATGGTCTCTGGTTGACTGTTACTCCATCACTGTATTTGTGCTAACTTGAGTGATGGTCTCTGGTTGACTGTTACTCCATCACCGTATTCTGCTAACTTGAGTGATGGTCTCTGGTTGACTGTTACTCCATCACCGTATTCTGCTAACTTGAGTGATGGTCTCTGGTTGACTGTTACTCCATCACTGTATTCTGCTAACTTGAGTGATGGTCTCTGGTTGACTGTTACTCCATCACTGTATTCTGCTAACTTGAGTGATGGTCTCTGGTTGACTGTTACTCCATCACTGTATTCTGCTAACTTGAGTGATGGTCTCTGGTTGACTGTTACTCCATCACTGTATTCTGCTAACTTGAGTGATGGTCTCTGGTTGACTGTTACTCCATCACTGTATTCTGCTAACTTGAGTGATGGTCTCTGGTTGACTGTTACTCCATCACTGTATTCTGCTAACCTGAGTGATGGTCTCTGGTTGACTATTACTCCATCACTGGGCTCAGCATTTGAGTCAAGGTTGCACTTAGCTGCAGAAGAGACCTCCCCATGGTGACTGATCAAACAAGAACATGATAGGTTTGAGTTGGGGTTTGTGGTTTTTTTTTTTTTTTTGTCATGATACAGGAATTCTACAAGAAGGAAGTCCAACATAATTAATTCAGGTTCAAAGACAATATTGCTCATGCCCCCTCTTCACAAGTTGCCTGCTCTGCTGTTCCTGGCCTGCGGTTTTGCGGTACAGCTGCTTCAGTTCCAGGCCCTGCATCGACCCTTCCAGGAAGAACGACTAGAATGAGGAAAGGCAAGGAGCACCTGCCGGCTGAGTCTGTCCTCGGTTTCTAGGAAAGCAATAGCTTGATGTCATCATATCTCGCCCTCACATTTCCCCCAGGCAGCCCAGGATCCGCATAGCTGCAAGAGAGTCTAGTGAGAAGGAAAGAGAGGCGAATGAGAAGCCAGTGGCTGCATCCACACATCCCAGACTTAGCCACGCACATCTTCCAATACCCTCAGGGGATAGAGTGAGCGCATGTCGCTAGATCTGGACCCTACAAGCTGTGCTCTGAGAGCCAGATAAAGGTGTCCATTTTAATTTAGGTAAGATGTGTTACTGAAATACAGTGAGGCTTACATACTATCTATGGTGACCCGGTTTGCTATGGCAGCAAGTGATGTGACCGAGACACACACACACACACCCGTCCCAATGGTCCACAGAATCTAAACATATGCACAGCCTGACCCTCTAGAGAAAGTGCTCACCCTTGCCGAGTCCCTGCTCCTTGGAATGTGTTGGTGGACCAGCAGCAGAGAGGGACGCACCATGCTACCTGAGTGGCTGTGTCAGGCCATCCCACTTTGCAGGCTCACCTTAAGGTCATGCGTGGCCACTGAAGATGACGACACGGGAATGCTGTATCATAGCTAGGATGGGGCTCTGTTATAGCCTCACAGGCAGTGTGCCCTAAGGATGGAACTCCTGAATCCTCCCCAGGAGAGAAGCCAGGCTTATTAGTGTAGCGCATGCTACACAAGAGGCTGAGGCAGGACAATCACAGGACTACCAAGGATAGTCTGGGCAACCTAATAAGACTATCTCAAAATACAAACTATGGGCTGGAGAGGTGGCTCAGAGGTTAAGAGCACTGACTGCTCTTCCAGAGGTCCTGAGTTCAATTCCCAGCACCCACATGGTGGCTCACAGCCATCTACAATTCAGTCTGGTGCCCTCTTCTGGTATGTATTCAGAACACTGTATATGCAATAAATCAATAAATCTTAAAAAAAATACAAACCAGAAAGAGGGCAGGGGCATGCTGGGAGTCACATTGACCCTCCTTCAGGTGTCACATTCTGTGGGGTCTAACTCTACCCTACGCTTAAGCCTAACCCTTGCCCTCTGGGGTCTTGCTGCTGGGAGTCACACTGACCCTCCTTCAGGTGACACATTCTCTCTGTAACTCCAGTTCCAGGGGATCCAACACCTTCTTCTGGTCTCTTGGAGGCACTGCACACAAGTGGTACATACACATGCATGTAGGCAAACCACTCACACATATAAAAACAAGACAAAATGCATTTCAGTCATAAAATAGAGGCATCCATCCTCCACAGCGCAGGGCAGCACAGCCCCATGTTGGGGTTCTGAAATGCCTGCTTGTTGGGCACTTTTAGCGTAGGGATTGGGGAGACAGCCAGAGTAGAGTTATCAGGCCATGCGCTCTGCCTGGCTCCTGAACAGCCAGCCTAGAGTCACAGGACTGCATACACACCAGGCCTGTTTGCCCCAAATGACACTAAACAGTCAGCATGAGGACAATCAGCACCCAGTTTCCAGGGAGCTCGAGGAGATTCTGAGGCCAATAGCATCCTACCCAGGTCTCCCTGGGTTTGGTTCAGGCTATACATTTTCTACCAAGGATCAGACACTGAAGCCAGAGATGGGGAACCCACAGCTGACTGCTTCCAAATCTGGGGCCCATCGGATCCACTTTCAGCTACAGAGACCAGACTGCAGCCAGGGAGACAATAAGAACAGACAAGCTTTTGTTCTGACTAAACTGTTTTTTAATGGTTCCTTCCAGGCCAACCCTGTGGAAGTCTCAACAAGGCAGCCATTGAACCTCCCTGCTAGTGCCCAGTCGGACAGAGCCAAGGCGCTGGGGAGGGCTGGGCCTTTGCTCTGCCGTGGTGGTCTGACCACAAGGGAGGCTGGCTCTTTTATTCCTTGTCTGAGATGAAAACAGGGGAAGGAGGGTGTCAGGCAGGCAGGACTGACCCACAGTTCCCGTAATTAGTGCCTTCAAAGTGTCAGGCGATCTCTCACAGGCACACGGCACGAGCATCTGTGTGTGTGCCGCTCCATGACATGGGGCGTCTTCCTGGGGGGATGTGGGTTTCCAGGGACTCAGTAGTGACTCTGCTGATGGCGCAGGGTCATCACCTGCCCAGCGTTCCGAAGACGCTCAGGGAGTCACAGTTCAGAACCTCTGCTTTTCATCCGTGGGTTCAAGCAGAGAAGAGGAAGCAGATAGACAAATGCAAATACCGGTTTAACGACAGGATCCATTTCTTCACTACCAAAGGCCCAGGCCGCCAAGCACTCCCGCAATGCAACCCTGGGTGCTCCTAGTCAAACACCCTGAGATGAAAGCTTGGGCCACCCGGTCCCTGTTTCCCAGTCCGGGAACTGGCCCTTTATGTCGCAAGCGTCTCCAGGATTGGGTGGTGTCCCCAGTGTGGGTCAGCTCAGCTGGACCCTGCATCTCAGTGGCCCTGTGAGGCATGTGCTCACCTCCACGGCCAGTCGGGGGAGGGGGGGAACCTACAGCATTGCTGTGTAGGGCTCCGTCTACACTGGTGTTGGGGACAAGTATGACTCACTTTGTCTTGCAGATGAATAAGCTCCTAGTCAAGTGCCCAAGATGAGCCCCAAGGTCATGTGAGTTTTGAAGTTTGTGCATGGACTCATTTTCCTATTTGTTTGCCCCCTTCTTTACTTTAAAAAATATATAATTATTTACTTTAGTTTTATGGGTAGGAGTGTTTGCCTGCATGTATACGCACCACATGCATGCGGTGCCCACCGGGGCCAGAAGAGGGCGTCGGGTCCCCTGGAACTGGAGTTACAGACAGTTCTGAGCTGCCATGTGGGTGCTGGGAATTTAACTGGAGTCCTCTGCAAGAACAAGTGCTCAGACCCCCTTTTTTCCTTCATTTCTTCTTTCCTTTCTCTTATCTCCACTTTCAACCCCCCTCCTCCTTTTTCTTTCAGCCATACATACCATAGACAAGATAAATGTTAATTTCTTTTCTTCACATCAAAGAAGCAGGGCTGTTCTGGGATGGCGTACACCTTTAATCCCAGCACTTGGGAAGGCCACCTTCATCTACAGAGTGAGTTCCAGGACAGCCAGAGCTACACAGAGAAACCCTGCCTCAAACAAAACATAGACAATGAAATGGAGGGTGTGGGCCTGGGAGTTGCTCGGTTTCCAGTACTGGGGACTCTCTAGATCCCTGTGCCCGCTGGGTGACGGCAGAGAGTCCAGCCTACAGCCGGAAGCCCTCGAGCAAGACCCAGCCTTGACCAGGGGAAGGCCCTGGACAGAGTCCACAGAAACAGAATTCAGACCCCCTGAAAGGAGGTGACACAGAAACCGCAGCACAGGCGGGTCAAGGTAGCTCACCCGGGCGCGCATGTCACGGCAATGCAGAGCTCAGAGAGGGGCCTGCCTCCAAAGCCCACCGCCACGTCCACTGCATGCACCGCAGGGCTCGCCTGCTGGGAGCGAGCTGTTAAGAAGTCAGACAAAATCTCTGCTCTGAGTTGCTGCTGGGGTGACCGGTGAAAGGGCGGGGAAATTTTGGTTGTGATTCCCTGAGAACTTTCTGGGGGCTTCCTGCCTCTCCCAGCTGGCAAGACACATTTGTAAACACTGAAGGCCAAGATTCAGACAGATTAGGGTTCGCGTTGGACACGCATCACTGGCTGGCCATGTGACTTTGCCTGAGGCCTTTTAACTCTTTCTGTAACTCTGTCCTCCTGGCTGGGACATCCCAGCTGATGTCGGTGCAAACCTGGGGGGGGTTGGCATGGGAGGCTGCCATGGGTGTTCAAATGTCATCTATGTTTTAAAACGGGGAAAAATGAAGGGTGTTAGGAAGGAAAGCTCAGTCAGCGAAGTGCTTGCAGACAAGTGTGAGGCCTGAGTGTGAGCCTCAGCACCTATGAAGAAAAGGAAAAAGAAAAGCATAGGGCAGTGGCTCACACCTGTGAGCTCAGAGCTGGGGGGCAGGATGCAAGAGGACCCCGGAGGCTGGCTGGACAGAAACTGGTGACGCCAGCTGAGTTATCCTACCCCAGGGTCAGTGAGAGAACCGTCTCAAAAAATAAGATGGAGGCTGGGTGTGCTGGCCCCAGCCTTAATCCCAGCACTCTGGAAGACAGAGACAGGCGGATCTCTGTGAGTTCAAGGCCAGCCTGGTCTACACAGTAAGCTCCAGGGCAGCCAGGTTTACATAATGGAGAGAACCTGTATCCGAACAGCAAAGAAAAGAAATAAGTCAGGTGGTGGTGGTGCATGTCTTTAATGCCAGCACTTCGGAAGTTCCAGGACAGCCAAGGGCCACACAGAGAAATCCTGTCTTGGAAAAGAAAGAAAGGAAGAAAGGAAAGGAAGGAGGGAGGAGGGAGGAAATAAGATGGAGAAGATTGAAGAAGACATCTAATGTCAATCTCTAGTGCACTTTACCCCACATGAACATATGAACATGTATGCACACATACCCAGGGGTAGAGCCAGGCCTGTTGGTATGTGCCTGCTAAGGGGTCAGAGGCAAGATCACAAGATACGTATTTTATTTCCCAAGGGCTGCAAAGTTTAAGGGGGTTGCACCTGCCACCCCAGCCGTGCTGGGAGCAGCCAGCTGTGCGGTTTCCTTTAAGATGGCTGTGGTGGCACATGCTTGCAGTCCCAGTGCTTGGGAGGTGGAGACAGAGGGCACTCCTGGAGATTAAGGCTAGCGTGGACTGTACAGTGAGACCTTGTCTCAAAAATCAAAACAAAGCACTTTCTTACATTAAAAAGGTGAGGGTTAGTTGTAGATACGGACACATGGGAAAGACACGGCATGGAAATGCTCTGGCGGCATCCGTGGCTTCAGACATCCAGGTGGGCCTCTGCATAGCCCCATATGGGGTCCCCATACATAGGACGTGGGAGGGACAACTGTCTCTGCAGACTCAGTTCCTTGGCACCACACAGCAGTGGCAGCTTCTTTAACCCCCGTGCAGGCCAGCTCACCCTCCATCCTGTGGTCAGAGGGAGCAGAAACCCACGTGACCTTCCTTCCGTTTGCATGGGATCCCACACTCAGCCAGGCTTGCTCTCAGAACAGAAGGGCCAGGCTTGCTCTCAGAACAGAAGGGCCAGGCTTGCTCTCAGAACAGAAGGGCCAGGCTTGCTCTCAGAACAGAAGGGCCAGGCTTTCTGACACAAAGAAAGTAGTTCTGGTCCGTCTTTGGAGTTCTCCACCTCCCCTCTGAGCCGTGCCCGCCACACCGTTCCCCTGCCTCCTGTGTTGGGCTGGCTCCGTTGGGCCTCTTTCTCCTCGGCGTGGGGTCTTACCGTCCCAAGCAGCTTTCCCAGGGGAAGCCCCTGGCTGGCCGGGGACTTCTTAAAATTGCTTGCCCACAAATGACATTCCGTTAGGAAAAGAAGCGGGAGCCACATTCCCCAAGCTGTTCGTTCATACCACCCCCATAATCTTAAGTAGGGTGATGATGCCCCACCCCACCATGGCTGGCTGCTACAGCGTAGAGCATCTAGGAAGCTCCAGGTAACCCAGCTTCCTCCTGCCTGTCACTGGAGCCAGGAAACAGGCTCTGCTGGTGGGAACACATTTGGAGGCTGAACTGGGGTGTTGCTCACAGAACTTGCCTGGCACGGGTGAGGCTGCGAGTTCAATGTCCAGCACCACACGCAAGACACGAAACAGATAAATAAATAAATAATATTCCCGAAAGTACATTATTGGCATATGAGCCTCTAACAAGTGATCTCAATGCACCTCAGGTTCCTCTCTGTGCCTCAGGTTCCCCACCTGTAAAATGGGTTGTAGACAGATACAGGTTCATGCGTAGCTGGGGAAGCACTTTAGGCATGCCTAGGGCCTTGGTTCCTAGTGTGCCATTTGGCCAGTGAGCCTGCCTCTCCAAACGGAATTAATGCGACAGTCCAGTGTGTCCTCGCTGCAAGCATTCGTGACTGTGAAAGCCCCCTGGCCTCCTACGCACTGAGAGGGGCCTCACCGAGGGAGTCTCCACAGCTAGGACACAAGAGCTCAGTTAGTGATGTCCCATGGTTGCCACGACGTCCGGGAAGTTGGGAGTTTCCCACAGGAGGGAGGTGACTGAACAGTGTGTGTGTTCTGTTCAGTTCTTTAAAAAGCCGTCCTCGGGGGCCTGGGGAGATGGGCTCAGCTGGTAAAATGCTTGTTATGCGGGTATTATGACGTGAGTTCAAATACCACACTTAAGAAACAAAGCAAACAAACAAAAAAAGCTGGGCATGGAGGTGTGCACCTGCGGGGCCAGCACTGAGGAGTGAGAGACACGAGATCCTTGGGGTTCAGGGCCAGCCAGTCCAGCCTCACTGGTGAGCCTCAGGCCCCAGAGGTAGCTTTCGTGTTTGTCATCTGAGGAGCGAACAGTGCCTGAGAATGACTCTGACCTCCACAGGAACCACACACACACACACACACCGCATGCACGCACGCTAGCACGCACATACACAAAGGCATACGCGCATGCACACACTCACACGTCATCATCATCAGGGAAGACAAGGGAAGGCAAACAAAGTATTCCCAAAGTGCTCATGCTTTTGCGAAAGGAGTTTGCTCCTTCCATTCATGTTTCAGCATTTTTTATTTATATTCATGTATTTATGTTTCAGTATTCATATGACCTTCGTGATCAAGGAGCAATATAAGCAGAATTTGCCTGTGGGAATCAAGCCAGCCCTGTGCATAGGGAGGGGGCAGGGTGAATTGTGGAATCCTGACTGTGGGGCTCAGAGGTCACATTCCACTCCAGTGACCTGGAAGGAGCTGTCCCACGCTTTTCAGGAGGGATCCTGGAGCATCTGTGTGGCTTTCTGTGGGTGACCCGAGGCCTGGGCTGGGGCAATGATTTCTGAGTCAGAGGTGTAGGCAGTAAAGCAAGACGGGGTTCAGAGGCTATGCAGCCCCCCCAACTACTACAGAGACCACGAACTTCTGGGACCAGGGATCGGGGTGTGGCTGCATCAAGGCGGGAGATGAGACAATGGAGGGATGGAAGGCCAAGGTGGGCCCAGACCCCTGTAGCCGCCCACTCCCCTCCCGAGCCGCCCACTCCCCTCCAGAGCCTTCTTCCAGCTCAGGGTCTATGAGATGGCTGAGCTGCCTAGGCCATGCACACAATTAGAGTTGACATAACCCCCAGCGGGGGGGGGGGGGGGGCACTGTGTGCTGAGCACCCTCACCCCACCCCACCCAACACGAATGAGGTGGTACTGCTTGCTGCCCACAGCTAACAACCTGACAGCCAATGGTGTGGTACAAATCTGGAATTCTACAGGTGGAGGTCGGAAAATCAGAACCTCCAGGCCAGGGCTGCATATTTATATCCTGTCTCAAGACAAGAGAGGGAGGGGGAAGGAGGGAGGAATGGAGGGAAAGAGGAACTTTTCCTACGCCAGAGGTTGAGGTATGCTTCCGCTGTCAATGCCCATGTCTTCTCTCTCCCGTTAATGGACTCTAGCCCACAAACCAAAAACCCAAAACCCCACCCCAACTTTTTAAAAGTTGCTTTTGGTAATGATGTTTTATCACAGCAACAGAAAAAGAGCTAACACAAAGATTCCTTTTATGGGGCGACAGCACACATTTGTACTGGTTTCTAAACACCATGCCCTGCTCAGCTGTCTAGGTCCCAAGAGTCTCCATGGACTCCAGACAGCATTTAGTACCTCCCAGGACTTCCGAGTTGAACTCTTATTTTAAAATGAATGAATGTATATACTTCTTTTTGTTCTTGCTTTTTTTGGGGGGAGTTGTTTTTGTCTTGTTTGTTTGTGTGTTTGGTTTTTTGTTTGTTTGTTTGTTTGTTTGTTTGTTTGTTTGTTTGTTTTAAGCCGCATCTTGCCGTGTAGCTCAGGGTGGCCTGGAACCCCCATGAAGTTCAAGCTTCCATTCAGTTCTCCAGCCTCCTGCCTCAGTGCCCCTAAGTGCTACAATTACCAGCATGCACCACTGTGCCTGGCTTGTACATGTACTGTGTGTGTGTGTGTGTGTGAGAGAGAGAGAGAGAGAGAGAGAGAGAGAGAGAGAGAGAGAGAGACAGAGAGCACATGTGTATGCGTATGTGTGAGTGTGTGTATGAAGGTGTGCATGCATGTGTGTGGAGGTCAGAGGGCATCCTTGAGTGCTATTCCTCAGGCCAAGTACCAAACTCACCAGCCTGGAGTTTGCTGACAAGGCTAGACTGGCTGGCCACTGAACCCCTGGATTCCACCGGTCTCCCTCCTAGCACTGAGATTACCAATGCATATCACACAAGCACCGAGATTACCAATGCATATCACAATGCTTTTTTTTTTTTTGCTTGAGTCCTGAGGCTGGCACTGGGCTTCATGTTTGGAAGGCAAGCACTTCATCAGCTGAGCCTTGTCCTGTGCATACCCTGCCGATGCTGCGAGTCTACCCTATGCTTCTGAGCTAGAAACCTAGGAAGTGTGCTCTTTCGATGAGGTGGGAGAGGACCCACTCACCATAGAGATGAC